GTGCCTGGTGGAGAGAGGAGGGCAGTTTGGTGTGGACTCATAGGCCACAGCAAACCTGGAGCAGACCTTAGAGGACTGAATCATGGGCATCTGTGGGTTTCTCAACCCATGAATGCCAAAGACAACTTAGAAGGTCAGTGGGAAAAGACTATGACTGTGGTGACAGAGAAGCTTGGTCTCAGCCTCAGTTCTGGTGCAGCCCCAGGTCAGTGGCTGCTTCGGGAGCTTCTAGACCACAGACTGAGGGGGAATTGAGTGGCTGATCAGAGGGGGATTACAGGGATCTCTCTCTGCTGGTGCAGGATTCTCTTGCTTTACCCATGCTTGGATCTGGGTCGCAGTTCTGGGTGGTGGTCCTGGGGTGAGGAGGATTGCTGGCATGGTAGAGCTTGTAGTGGTGGTGCAGAGAAGATACTCCTCACAGTTCCAAGGCAGAAAAGAGTGCTTGTGGTCACTTATAGACCAGAGCACAGGCCTGGAAAGGAGTAAACAAACACCTCGCCCTTGATCATACCACCTTGGAAGAACTGAAAATTTACAGGTCCCTAGAAGTATCTCTGAAAACAGCTGCACAAAACCCCCAAAGCTTGGGACAGTACATTCTCCACACTGGAAGCAGACCCTTACCTTAACAAAGAGTTTAAAACTCAAGTAATTGGCTGGGATCGTGAACAAAAGTGCAAAAATAATCAGACCATAGAATCTTTCTTTGGTAACAAAGAAAATCAAAACACACAACCAGAAGAAGACAACAAAGTCAAAGCTCCTACATCCAAAGCCTCCAAGAAAAATATGAATCAGTCCCAGGCCATGGAAAAAGCTCAAGAGGAATTTTGAGAAACAAGTAAGAGAAGTAGAGGAAAAACTGGGAAGAGAAATGAGAGTGATGCAAGAAAATCCTGAAAAACAAGTCAACAACTTGCTAAAGGTAAAGGAGACCCAAAAAATACTGAAGAACATAACACCTTAAAAAATAGCCTATCAAATGGCAAAAGAGGTCCAAAAAGCCAATGAGGAGAAGAATGCCCTAAAAAGCAAAATTGGCCAAATGGAAAAGGAAGTCCAAAAGCTTACTGAAGAAGATACTTCCTTAAAAATTAGAATGGAGCAATTGGAAGCTAGTGGCTTTATGAGAATTTAAGACACTGTAAAACAAATCCAAAAGAATGAAAAAATAGAAAACAATGTGAAATATCTCATTGGAAAAACAACTAACCTGGAAAATAGATCCAGGAGAGAGAATTCAAAAATTATTGGACTATGTAAAAGCCATGATCAAAAAAAGAGGCTAGACATCATCTTTCAAGAAATTATCAAAGAAAACTGCCCTGATATAGTAGAACCAGAGGGCAAAAATAGAAATTGAAAGAATCCACTGATCACCTCCTGAAAGAGATCCCCAAAGGAAAACTCCTAGCAGTATTATAGCCAAATCCCCAGAGTACCTAGGTCAAGGAGAAAATATTGCAAGCAGCCAGAAAGAAACAATTCAAGTATTGTGGAAACACAAGATTTAGCAGCTTCTACATTAAAGGACCACAGGGCATGGAATATTATATTCCAGAGGGCAAAGGAGATAGGATTACAACCAAAAATCACCTACCCAGCAAAACTGAATATAATCCTTCAGGGGAGAAAATGGTCATTCAGTGAAATAGGGGACTTTCAGGCATTCTTGATGAAAAGACCAGAGCTGAATAGAAAATTTGACTTTCAAATACAAGACTCAAGTGAAACATGAAGAGGTAAACAGGAAAGAGAAATCATAAGAGACTTATTAAGGTTGAACTGTTTACATTCCAGCATGGAAAGATGATATTTGTAACTCATGAGACCTTTGCCAATATTAGGGTAGTTGGAAGGAAAAAATTATGTGTGTGTGTGTGTGTGTGTGTGTGTATATGTATATATATATACATATATATACATATATATTATGTATATATATATACATATATATACATATATATACATATATATGTTTATATAGAGGGCACAGGGTGAGTTGAAGATGACGGGGTGATATCTGGAGAATAAAATTAAGGGGTAAGAGGGCATTATACTGGGAGAAGGAGAAAGGGAGAGGTAGAATGGGGTAAACTCACATAAAACAGACAAGAAAAGGCTTAAAAAGTGGAGGGGAAAAGGGGGGGAAGGTGAGAGGGAATGAATGAATCTTATTCTTATAGGATTTGGCTTAAGGAGGGAATAACATACACACTCTATTGGGTATAGAAATCTTACCCTACGGGAAAATAGGGGGGAAGGGAACAAGAGAGCAGAGGGATAATAGAGGGGAGGGCAGATTGGGGGACGGGGTAATCAGAAACAAACACTTCTGGGGAGGGACAGGGTCAAAAGAGAGAATAGAATAAATGGGGGGCAGGATAGGATAAAAGGGAAATATACTTAGTTTTTCACAACATGACTACTATGGAAGTGTTTTGCATGACTACACATATATAACCTGTATTGAGTTTCTTGCCTTTTCAGTGAGGGTGGGTGGGGAGGGAAGGAGAAAATTTGGAACCCAAAGTTTTAAAAACATATGTTAAAAAAATTGTTTTCATCTGCAACTGGGAAATAAGAAATACAGGAAATGGGGTACAGAAATCTCTCCTGCCCTACAGGAAAATAGAAGGGGAGAAAGGGATAAGAGAAGGGGAGGAGAGGTAGAAGGGAGGGCAGATTAGGGGAATGGGTATTCAGAATGTATGCTATTTTGGGGTTGGGGAAGAAGGGATGAGATGAGGAGAAAATTTGGAACTCAAAATCTTGTGGAATGAATGTTGAAAACTAAAAATAAATAAATTTTTAAAAAAACTAGAAAAAGACTACAGTAGTGAAAACACCTTGCTGTGTTTAATGATTTTTAGCTCCTTGCGTACTTTTTGGAATGCAGTTATAGAAAGTACTATCATTAAATAAAATTAACTGTTAAGATTATTGCCAAGGGGCAGCTAGACAGATAGAGCACTGGCCTTGGAGTCAGGAGGACTTGAGTTCAAATGTGGCCCTCAGACACTTGACACTTATTAGCTGTGTGACCCTGGGCAAGTCACTTAAACCCCATTGCCTAGCCCCCCCCCAAAAAAAAAATGATTATTGCCAAGCAAGAAGTTCACTTGTTTAAAGAAATAAATGCCACACATAATCTCTAATGAATTTTGTATTTTTTCTATAATACTAAAATTATCTCTTTGTAGAACAACTTATCTCATTATGTTGAATAGGTGTGTTCGAGAAAAAAAATTGTGTTTGATTAACCAAAGTTCCATGTAGGAAGGAAAGAAGGAAGGGAAAACAGCATTTATTAAGTACTCATTATGTACCAGGTACTGTACTAAAGTGCTTTTGTACTCCCAGTGCACTGGGAGGTAGCTAGGGATAGTTATTATCTCCATTTTACAGATGAGGAAACTGGGGCAGTGTTGAGCTGAATTTGAATTCAGGTCTCCCTGATTGCAGGCCCTCTAGCACTCCATCTACTGTGCTACCTAGCTGCCTCTGCAACTTTTCGATAAGTTTTTAAACTTATTTTACCATTTCAAAATTGAAGGTGCTTTCTGGGTTAATGGAGCCAAAGAGAGAAGAGTCCTTTCTGTATGAAACTCATCTGATGATAGCAGAATAGCAAGCAAGAAAGGGAATGGCTTCTTTGTCAGCTTGTCACTGGAATGGCTGCCCCTCTTTTCCCTCCATTTTCTTTTAATCCTGGTACAAAGCAGGAAGTCTCCTATAGAAACTGTAAACAGTTTTGGGAACATGCCTCCCAAAAAGTACCAATTAGTTTTGTCACCTCACATGGCTGGTAGTAAGTAAACAAAGAACTCAGAGATAGTATAAGCCTTGCATTGTTTCTATCACTGTGACACAATCCTGTTCCTACCATCTTGCTGTTTCCAGGGCTATTCCAACTACTTAATAATAAGGAGCCGTCCTACCCCTTGCTCAATGAATGAAAGCTCAGGAAGCCTCAGCCCCAGTGTTTCCCAGCTACACAGGGGCTTTGTACACTACCTTCTAAGGAAGTGATCATGGCAATGAGTGTACTGGACATGCTCTTTTTGATGTGGTTTTGGTGTTGTCTTGTAAATTGTTGAACACTAATGTGTCTGAGGGCACAGCAAGATAATGATGTACTCAGGTGGACATGCTGGGAAATACATGGAACTCCAGCTCACTTGGATGGAGCCACACATGGAAAAGCTTTTTTAAAAGATTTAAGTTCAAGGAAGGGGTAGATGAGAAGAATCTAAGGAATTTCCTGAGTAGTTTACCTTTTCTGTTTCCTAGGATTCATCTCCTATGGAAGATTCCACTTAGTGAGTAGAATATTCCACCCAGAAATACAAAGTCACTGCTTCCTCAGGTCTGAGCCATTGTTGATGGTTTTTCTTTAAGATCACCCTGCATTGTAATTTGGATTCTTCAGCAGTCAATGCACACGTAGCCATTATTTTCTTTGGGGAGACAAATTAGTGTCATGACAGGGCCTGGTTCAGGCTATTACAGAGGAGGTAGGAAGTAGCAGCCTGTAGATTGGCTTCTCTGCCCTGTAACAATAACAAAAGGGGATCTTCATCTTCATTAAACATCCATTTTCCACCACCCAGCTAGTACCACTTGTCATGTAGTCACTAATGGGCTTGTTTCATTGCAGAAAAAGAAATAGAGCCATGACCTGGAAACATACACATTTTCAGTAGTGAACTGTTCCTTAAGTAGATACGTTGGAAGAGGAGGAGAAGGAAAGATGAAATAGAAGAATTAGTTGATTTATGGTTCCAAAATCTAGGGTAATAGGACCCATGTTAGTTCTCTGATTTAAGTTCAAGAGGCTCCATACTGAATTGCTTACATATAGTTAATTAAGATTTTACTTGTTTTTGTGCTTTTTTGTATCATACACTATGGTATACCTTAAAAGAAGACATTAATATTTTAAATCCTATCACTATAGTTATCTAATTTCAAGTATTCTTTTGTATGTATTTCAGAACTTTGCCTTTTGACAAGTTTATACACAGGGCAGCAGAAAACAAGCACACAGAGTTCTTTATTTCAGAGGTAATTGCTTTCAAACCAATTTCATTATCATACAGTGATATTTATATGCCGAGAGAACTGATTTTAAAACATTGCTTAGTGTAGTTTAAACAGCAGTCTACTTTTTTAACTTACATTTTACTCACTGACTCTTTATTGGTTGTAGTCCAGGGGTGGGGAACCTTCAGCGTCCAGGCTACAAGTAGGCCTTTTGACTGAAAATAAACTTTTGTATTTTGAGAAGAGATTTATGTGGTCGAGGTTATTCTAAAATTCTTAATAAAATGTCAAGTATCAGTTTTTTAAAAATTATTTTAACTATAATTAATCAATATTCAGCTCTTACTATGTGCCAGGCATTGTACTAAGTGCTGGGGATATAAAATGAGAGAAAAATACAAACAAATTTTTTGTTATTTCTGCTGTGTCATTAGCATTTTAAATGTGTTAATAATACTTTGATACAATACTATATAATAGAAATTGAATTTTTTGTGATACTACTGAAGTGGTTAATGACTTGTGGTTTCCATCTCTAAATGAAATAAAGTTTTATCCTACTTTGATTCCTTTGAGGAGTTTCTTTTACTTAGTGTTACCTTCACTCATTCATTAGCATGATTGGATTTTTACTTTTCTTCAAATAGCCACCAGAGAGCATTAGTAGAAAGGGTAAGACAGTAAAATTACTGAACTTGTAAAAGCTATTTGACTAGATTGTTTTAAAGAAAGCCTAATAAAGTAACTTCTTTATTTTCTAATTCATGTGTATTTAAAAATTAATATTCATGTCATTTCTTTTCTGGGCGTATCTGTTAAGGATGAGAAGTACTACTTGAGATCACTTGGTGAAGATCCTAGAAAGGTGAGAATTTCAGTACCAAAACAGTAATTCATTCATTCAATAATTCAGCAGTATTCATTAAAAAAGTGTTGTGCTGGGCTAGAGACAGGGGAAGATGGAAAGTTTAGATTGGTTCATTCCTTTCCCTCATGAATCTTTTAGTCCAGAAAGAAATGACACAAATATAGAAACCATATTACACAGTGTTACATGGTAGGTTAATCAAGGAGTTGAAAAAGTTTGCTTTTAAAAGGTCTTAGGGAGATTGTGACTAACCTGGGAAGGCTTGGTGAGAAGGTTGGCATTTGAATGGAATACATAGGAATTCATCAGGTGAAGAAGAGAGCAGGGCAGGGATAGGGAGCAGGCTAAACAAAGGCACCTAAGTGAGAGAGCATTTAGCACATTCAGCAGATTAGAAAGTAGACCAGTTTATCTAGAACATAATGTTTGAGGCAAACTGAGGCAATTAGATGTAGCTATTAGAGGGTTGGGGCTAGGGGTGGGGAGGGCTTAATTTCAGGAAATGGGGTGTGAGCCTTACTTTCTAGACAACACTAAACCACTGAAGATTTAATCCAAGCATTACAAAGAGGCTTTATAAATGTTGACAAGCCTTGTTTTTGATGTTAAAATTTTTGTACTGTCTGATAAACTTTTTTCTTCCTTGTCTCTCATTACTTTGTTTAGAAATAATTCTAAACCCAGACTGTGCCCTTGGGGAGCATTATATTGGACTGCATATTAAAGATATATACAAAATAAAAAGAAGTGAAGCAGGGAGGGGCAGCTAGATGGTACAATGGATAGAGCGCCAGGTCTGGAGTCAGGAATAATGCTCTTCTTCCCGAGTTCAAATGTAGCCTCAGACACTTACTGGCTGTGTGACCCTGGGCAGATCACTTAACCCTGTTTGCCTTAGTTTCCTCATCTGTAAAATGAGCTGGAGAAGGAAATGGCAAACTACTTTAGTATCTTTGCCAAGAAAATCCCAAATGAGGTCATGAAGAGTCAGACACAAGTGAAAATGACTGAAGTGCAGCAGGGGGAAGTACTAGCAGCTGTGAGGAACAGAAAAGGCCTCATGTAGAAGGTAGCCCTTGGGTCTTGAAGGAAACTAGGTATTCTAAGAGACAGAAGTAAGGAGGGAATAAATTTCAGGCATGGTGGGCAGCAAGAGCACATAGGGACAGATAGGAGGTAGAGTCTATCTCTGGCTCTCTGGGATTCTGTAAACTTGACCACAAGGATGTCTCTGTTGCACCTCCCCTTTCCTGTCTATCCAAACAGTACATAGAGGGAACTTATTATGCAGGATCATAGGGCAGTATATGGTGGCAGGGGAGGGAAGTTAAAATAACAGATCAAGGGACAGCTAGGTGGCTCAAGTGGATAGAGCACTGGCCCTGGAGGCAGGAGGACCTGAGTTCAAATGTGACCTTAGACACCTAACACTTGATAGCTGTGTGACCCTCGGCAAGTCACTTAACCCCAAATTAAAAAAAAAAAATAACAGATATAAATTGTAAGTTTCACAAGTTAGAAAGATTTAGATAGTACATTTGTGGTCTTCAACATCAGTGTTTTTAACCTCGACATTAACTTAGTTTTAACTCCATTGCTGAAGGAAGATTCAGCTCAGATTGTTGGTCCTCATCTCTAGAATCTGCTTCTTCAGCCTTCAGATAGGTAAACCTGGAAGTCTGGGGCATATAACCCAGATTTTTTCCCCTCCCTTATTTGACCCAGATCAGGAATACCTTCCCTTCAGCTCTGGCTAAGCCTTCGGAAAGTATTCTCTCCCTGCCCCAGACTCTGAGCAATAAAGGACTCTTTCCTCTCTGGACTCTAAAATTCTATTGAGTTGAGCCTCAGCTACTTCACCTTTCATGCTGTGACCCCAGTTTTGGAAGTCATTCTTCTGCCTTGCTCTCTCTTTCATCTGACCAGCCCTCTGAAACAGATTCTACTCTTCACATCTTTTTGCCTAATCAAACCCTTGATGTTAAAAATCATCTCTTCTACCTGCCAAATAAGCATGTGGCTAACACCCACGCAGGCTTCTTATTTTATTTTATTCTTCATGTCTTTATTGCTTGTTGGCTTCTTCTTCTACACAAAATGATTTACCTTGTTCTAAACTTTTGAATTCCCAGAAATCCCTCCTACAACTAATTCTTTTTTTTCTCTTTAATTCATTTATTTTGAATTATCAACAATCACTTCCATAAGTTTTGAGTTTTAAATTTTTCTCTCCCTTCCTCCTCACCTTCCTCCCCAAGATGGCGTGCAGTCAGATATAGGCTATACATATACATTCCTGTTAAACATATTTTCACATTAGTGATGTTTTAAGTAAGAATTAGATCTAATAGGAACCACCAGAAAGAGGAAACAAAACACAATAGAAGGAAAAAAAATAGCAAATAGTATGCTTCGATCTGCATGTGGATAGCATTTTCCATCATGAGGCCTTTGGAGATGTCTTAGATCCTTGTATTGCTGAGAAGGGTTAAGTCTCTCAGTATTAGTCATTACACAACATGGCTGTTACTGTGTACAACTGGTTCTGCTCACTTCACACAGCATCAGACCACACAAGTCTTTCCAGGTTCTTCTGAAGTCAGCCTGTTCATCATTTCTTATAGCACAACAGTATTCCATTACATTCATGTACCACAACTTGTTCAGCCATTCCCCAGTTCCTCTCAATTTCCGATTCTTTGCCACCACAAAAAAGAGCTGCTATAAATATTTTTGTACATGTAGGTCCTTTTCCCATTTGTGTGATCTCTTTGGGATACAGCCCTAGAAGTACTATTGCTGGGTCAAAGGGTACCTACAACTAATTTTTAAAGAGTAATCAATTTAGCATAATTCTTCAACTGAAGAAGCAAAATTTAAATCTAGCATATACTACAATTAAATTTTGCTTCATCAGTTGAAGAATTGTGTTAATATATTTGGACACACTCTAAATAGTTCATCGTAGTAGGTTTTGACTTGTATTTATGGGCAGATTACCTCTTGTGATCACTATTAAATGGCTTCTAAGGGAATTATTGGCTGTACTACACCACTTCCATTTTATGTCTTCCTTGAAGGGCCCTATTTACTTTTAGCATAGGAAAATATTACTTTAATACAACAGCAATCCAGGTGTCTGATAGATTTCAACAGAATATCTATCCAGAAATGCTCAAAAAGGGCAATTTTAAGTTTACAATTTAACATTCCCATTAGCACTGATATCTGGTTTTCAAGCTGTTTAAGGGTGAGAGATTGTAGGTTTCTGTCTTTGGCCCAGGCCTGTGATTTCATAGGTATAGGAAACTCCCAGTAAGAAATCTCCCTCTACTAATACAGATTGGTACCTGCTCTACAGTCTACATTTATATATTAACATATATGTACATATGACACATACATGTATATAACATGCATACATACACTCATACATTTAGTCTGTAGCAATGCAAAGACCCCCAGAACCCCCATCTCATTCTGGCATTCTTTACTGTCCACGTCACCACATTCAGGTGTGACCTTTTGACTGAATCCAAACTTCACAGAACAAATCCAAGTTTTACAGAACAAATCCTTTTACTAAGGGCCACACTTAAGGATCTAGAGGGCCACATGTGGCCTTGAGGCTGCAGGTTCCCCACCCCTGGCCTAAATAGAAAAGTCACGGAAAGGAATAGATTTAGGAAAGATGTGGTAAGCACTATTTTAAACTTACTGAGGACATCCCAATGGAGATATCCAGCCAGCAACTGTAAATATGTTGTACTGGAACTCTGGGGAGATGTTGGGTGTAGAGATATAGATTTGTGAGTCATCTGCATAATACTTCATTATACATGAAGCAATGGGAATGGAGGAGATAATCAAGGGAAACACTGTAAAGGAGAGAAGAGGCCTAGGACAGAACCCTTAAGAATACACATATTTAAAGGACAAGAAGAGGATGACAAAGGAGTGGAGATAGTGAGGATGAGGACATGGGGGGAAAAAATCCCTGGGTGTGGTGATAGAAAGCCAAATTAGTGATCTTGAAAATATTCAGTGAAGTGCTTTGATGAAGAATAATCCTTTCTAGATATAGCAGTAGTTCAGTTTGTTAAACAGTTTTTGGAAAGTTTTTTTGTAAAGTAAGAGGGGGTAGAACATAGAGTTTATAAGATTAAACATCTGTTTACAGTTAAAGAAGCTTATGTAATGCTTGCTTATTAGGAAGATTTCTGAAATCTTTTAATAGAATTTATCTAGTTAAAAAAAGTAGTACTAGAGAAATTGAAATAAGTTTTCTATCCTAATAAACGTAAGTATGCAATTTTATAGATAGCTTAAGAAATCATAATCATATCGTATGGTATTTCATATTAGGCATTCATTTTTTCTTTTCTAACATCTCTCTCAATTCAGGATATTGCAGATATCAGAAAACAGTTTCCTTTATTAGAAGGAGATATTAAGATTCCAGAATTCTTTGAAAAGGAACAGTTCTTTTCTAGTGTCTTTCGTATTAGTTCACCAGGATTACAGCTTTGGACTCACTATGATGTATGTATGCAACTTAAATATGAAATCTAAAATTAATGGCAATCCAACGTGGTACACTGAATACTACTTTGTGTAGTTAATTCATTCACTCTATTAGATGTTCCTCATCTGAAGATGTCTATCTAAAAATAATCAGAAAATAGAAGAATCTGATGGTAGGTTTTTATTTATGTTTTTTTGATTTGGTGGAGCTGAGTGGAAACTGGACATGAGGCAATTTATCATGCAGTAGTTTTGCAATAGGTGTTAAAATCAAACTTAAAATTTCTACAGTATAAAGGAATAGAATTTTCTGCCTCACATCACTGTTTTAAATTCGCCTTATGGATTTCTCAGGTGGATTTCAGCATTCTTCAGTGACATAGGACAGACTAAAATTTAGACTTTTATATTTTAAAGATTTTATAAGAACAAGAGTCACTTATCTTTCAAGCAGTCATAGGTTTTTCTTTACGCGTCAAGGGAATGGTTGCCCAAATGGCTTTGTCCTTAGCTGCAGTAATGGGCAACTGATGCAGTTTCTGATTATTAAAAGTGTTTCAAATAATTGTAGTATACTTGTGAATTTGTTTTGAATCTTTATAGCCAGACTAAATATTTACCTGAATGTAAAAGGCAATGTGTAACTTTATTTAAATTTGAAGTAAAAATTTGGGAAATTTAAGTTATATTACCAGACTACTTCAAAATGCATAATTAAGCACTTGTGGCTGAAAAGATAATATTCCTCTGGTTGACTGAAAGAAAAATGTTTAGGTTGACGAGATATATATTATTTGTATTGTGGGTTTCTCTTTTTGCTTTAAAAAAAATCCTTTAGTGGGCAAATATATCAATCTGCATGTTAGTACTTTTAATAATTCACACCAAAAAAGTAGTAACTTGGATCAACAGGAAACTGCAAATTAGTTTCATTAATAATTGCATTGATGAGTTTTCCAGCTTGATTTCATATAGAAGGAATTTAGAAACCCTAGTCTACTTATTTTAAGAAAGTAAAGACAGATTACCTATGTATAATAAAGTTCAACAGTGCTTACTAAAAAATAACTTGCTTTCTACTGTACATTCTTTGAATTTGTCACCCCTATTTTGTCTCCCAGGCACATAGAGTTGATATTAATTACCTCACATTTTATAAATAGAAAAACCGAGTCCACAAGTTGACTAAGTACTGTGTTATAGGTTACCCAGAGGTGAAGTAAAAACTACAATCTACATCTTTGTTGTTCCAGCCTATTGATTCTCTAGTCTTCTGACTTCTAGGCCATTGCTTTTTTTTCACTAAAACATTATGCAAAAATACCATAGATGATTATAGGAACCATTATGTCCTGAATACAAATTCACCTGGCCTGTTTGGGACAGCAACATGAGAATTTTAGGTATTTTGAAACATGGATAGAAGAGAACTTTGAGCTAATGACTAGTACTTGGGATGAATCCTCAATTTGATTATTGAAATTGTTAGTCCCAGATTTTTATTTTTTATTTTTTGCATTTTAAGAAATTACTGACAGTGCTTATTGACTTCTAGGTTATGGATAATTTCTTAATCCAAGTGACAGGGAAAAAACGTGTTGTGTTGTTCAGTCCTCGAGATGCCCAGTATTTGTATTTATCAGGTATGTATTCTATTATACTTTAAGCCAACGTTTTTGCTGTCTAGTTTATTCAGTTATATTTCTTTAGAGATCTGAATTTGCATTTCAATTGAAAAAATCTTGGAGCTTCTTTCTAATTATGATTCATTGTATTCTCCTTTGTGTAAGAGTGTATGTATAATGATAGACTATATGAAGAACTAGATTATTGGATTCATACTTTAATTATGTTACATCAGCTTCAGTGGATATAATGGGAGGGTAGGTCATTGAAAATTGTCTTAGGTTTCAGCAGAATAGTAATTGTTCTCCCAACATGTGAACGTAATAATTGTACCATATAGTAGAGAACACATTTTCAAACTTGTATTGGTGATTGCTTTAAAATAAAAAAACACAACTTTGTTAAATCTGTATTATCTTTTTCATAACTTTTCAGGTACTAAATCAGAGGTGCTGAATCTGGAGAACCCAGATCTGAATAAATATCCACTATTTTTCAAAGCCAGGAGGTTTGAATGTGTCCTTGAAGCAGGAGATGTATTGTTTATTCCTGGTAAGATTTCTAAAATTCACTAACATACTATTTATAAACACTATACCTTGTCCATTACTCTTGGCATTCATTTATAGTACAAAATTATATCTTATGCTATATTTCCTAGATGATTGACAGTAATACAGAGCCTTCCAAAATTGTCTCATTTTTGAGAGACTAACTAAAGTATTTCATCATTTAATAAAAGAATATATACAACTGTTTCTAGCAGCTTAGTAAAACTGCAGGGAAATGCATTGATTTTTTAAAAATCATGTAGTCTACAAATTTTCTGCATAGTCTGTGAATATAACTTATTTACCAACAATTTTTATAAATCTTATTTGTAGAGGAAATTAGTCAAAGATCATGAATACTTCTCTTATAGTCATAATGTTGGTGTTTTCTAATCATAACATTCCTGCTTTCTTTGGCATGCATTATTTTTGTGGACTGAATAGTCCTCGTTTCTTTGTACAATAAACAAGCTTTTATTTTAAAATCCATACCATCCTCATGTACTTAGTAATATAATCTAATTAATAACATCCATAATTAATCCTAAAACTTTTTAACTCAAAAAAATTATACACATAGTTGAGACCAAAATTTAGTTTTATGTTTCTTTTATATAGCTGAATTAATTGTTTTACATAGCTGAAATAATAAATGAAAAACTTTTTTGGTGACTATCTATATGCATACACACACATGTAAAGATGCAGTATAACCAAAAATTTAAACATCTGTGATGGTTTAGTTAAAGGCTTCATGTTCCTTAGAACAAGCTAGTACATTAACTTTCATTTGGCAACATTTTTATTGTATAATTTCCTCAGTATTAACAACACAATTTAAAAAGAAAAAAAATTTATTTCCCCTTATTTTGAACATTGAATTTTGACCCACTTTTATTTTTTGCATGTTATGTATTTTGTGCTATTTACATCTTTTGGTGTAACAAAATAGTGTTTAAAAGTAACATTGACAAAATCATTATTGTGCTTTTTAAAATAACTGTTGAGAGTGAGTTCCCAAGTTTTTCTTCCATACTCAATTTTATATTGTTAAAATATATTTTATCATAATTATTTTTATAATTGTAATTGTTAGGATACTGCTGTAGCATTTTATAGCACTTTAATGCTGAGAGTTTTTAAGGCTCAAATGAAATTCCAGCAGGTAACCTCATATCCATTTGGTGGAGGGAGCAGGCTGCTAAAAATGCTTTAGTCATAAGACTGTAATGAAATTTCATTCATCCTCTCCACCCCACAAAAATTTTGCTTTACCATTGGTTTTTATTTCAAATGATCTAAAAGCAGTAGGACAATTATAATTGCAACAAAAATATGAAACTGAGAAGGGTACATTAAATGCAAATTTAACAAGTTACAAAAAACAAATTACAGCTGAAACAGGAAATCTTTGAAAACAAAAGTAGATTGCTATACTGAATCTGAGGTCAGAGATACTATTCAAATAATGCAGATGTCCTGTCTATGAAAAGTAGGAGCTTTGATGTGGTTGCAAGACTGGAGAAATGTAAACAAGTAACACAAACCACAGGCCCAAATTGCAGAACTACAAAACAAATATAACTTTATTATTATGCCTTTCAAGTTAAAAGGAAAATTTGCTTTTGCCAAAGGTTTGTAATGTAAGGACTGTGCTATTGACACTTTAAATTGGTTGACATTCCACAAAAGTTAACGTGATTCTATTAAAGGCTGTGAGTGTGCTAACGAAGGAAGCTTGATATGGGAATTATTTCTTACATTGGCTACATTCAGTTTGTGATATTTCACTGACATTTTGGTGTTTTTTTTAACTGCAAGTTTATTTTTAACTTATCTTTTTTTAAACTTTCTCCAGCTTTATGGTTCCATAATGTGATTTCAGAAGAGTTTGGAGTAGGAGTGAATGTTTTTTGGAAGCACCTTTCTTCTGAGTGCTATGATAAGACAGATACCTATGGAAACAAAGATCCTACAGCAGCCTCAAGAGCTATACAGATTTTGGACAGAGCCTTAAAAACACTTGATGAACTACCAGAGGAGTATAGGGATTTTTATGCACGACGAATGGTCTTACGAATTCAAGACAAAGCTTTTAGCTCTAACTATGAATAGTGCACTAAAATGAACTGCTTAGAAAATTCACATACATTGTACAGAAAAATTAAATAAAAATTATTTTTTAAATTTTTATAAGATTCATTATTCTTTTAAAATAGAGAACTGCCATAGTTTGCTTATTGGAACAACTATCAGGGATTGTTAAATTGTGTTAAGAACGGTGGAAAGGAGTTAGGCGATGGTTTTATCATTTAGTTCTATGTCTTTAGGCAAGTCTCCTAACCTCTGGACTTCATCTTCCTTATCTGCAAAATACAGTTATTGAATAAATGATCTCTAAAGTCTTTTTAACATTTTTAAATAACATTTTTTTTATTTATCTGAGTAGATTATACAGTTTGGGTTCTATTAAGGTAAGTGCCCTATATAAGGTTAAAGTCTCTTCTACCTACCATCATTTAGGGATGCTTCTCTGCAATCTGTTTTGCCATGCTCAGATTTAGATCAGCCTTACCTAACAAAATCAGATAAGTAAATAGGCTTGGGCAAAGAAAAAATTATGTAATGTATCCCAGGTTCCAATATAAATGACTGTTTATTAGACTGCTGATAGTTGACATGACAGAACTTTAGAGCTGAAGTAGAGGTTTAAGATCAAGCTAATCTAACTTCATTTTAAATGAGGAAACTGAGGTTCAGAGAAGGTCATATATAAAAAAGAGGCAACATAGGAATTGAAACACCAACTTTCAGTTCATTCATTGTTTTCTGTTACACTAACCTGTATTACTATCCATTACCATGGATAATTGGAAGCTGCCTATATTATAGATTAATAGTTGACATTTGCCCTACGAGGGCCATACCAGTTTTTAGATTCTATGAGTGGTTTACATTACTTTGGGTTTAGATAAATTTAAACTCTTTCAGTGTATAATAATCTATTTTTAACTATTATAAAGACATATTTAAGAAAGAACCCTTGTACTTTTGTGTTCATGTAATATTAATAAAAGAGGTGGAGTTAGGAAGGGGAGCAATTATGAATCTGGGGGGTTGTTTTCGCAGTCAGTACTACCCTAACAAAAGTATGCATCTTTTGTTGGTCACAAGACCCAGTTAAGTTCCTCGGCCCCCACCCCATACTCCTATTCTTTCAAAGCTACATCTCTAGCTGATCATTTTTTGGGGCAGTTTCCTTACTGTCTTAGTGAATTATCAGATGCCTATCAAAAAGAGAAAGAATTAAGGCATTAGAAACTCTTTTTTTCCCTAGGCAGGATCCAGTGATGTTTTTGTAGAAATGTGGTATGCCAAATTGAACATGTGAAATTTTCTATCTTCTATCAACATTTTTTTGCCTATTACTGTTTTCTGAATGTCACCTAAAATCCACTTGAGATTTCCTGTAGATGTTCTTAGTCCTTAAAAAAAAAGTCTTATGGTACAATAGTTTCTTACCTCATATGGACATAGTTTGATGAAGACCAGATGGAGTTACTAAAAGATTATATATTATCTTTAGAAGTCAAGTTGTATACAAGTTATATAATATTTATTGCTTCTAGCTTCTGACTCCTGCTTTAAAACCTATGACCCAGTTGGCTCCTAGCTATCTTCATTCCTAATTACTAGTTTTATTAATCCAGCTTCAGGATTCACTGTAACTACTTATTTTTCTCTACCTTAGTCATCTTTGGGGAGTACTCTTGAAAATTTCCTTTGTTATATACATTTAGCATCCAATGGCTATATAGGAAAGCAACTTTTAACCCACATTCTTTTCATTTTCCAAATAAATGAGTCTATAAGAAAGCCTAGTAAAAGTTACTGCCATTGAGAAAGGATAACCATTTTACATATTTTTGGGCTGTGTGGTACAGTGGATAGAGCACTGGGCCTGCAGTCAGGAAGACTTCCTGAGTTCAAATCTGGCCGCAGAGACTGTGACCCTGGGCAAGTCACTTAACCCTGTTTGCCTCAGTTTTCTCATCTGTAAAATGAGCTGGAGGAGAAAATGGCAAACCAAGAAAACCCCAAATGGGGTCATGAAGAATTGGATGCAACTGAAACAAATGAACAACAAAAAAGCATACATAATTATGGGAACATTCATGATTATGAATACAACACTCCTATTCAGGAACAGTCTAACCATATTCTAGTTAGGAAATGGATGAACTTAATTTTAAAAAGCAATTTTCATCAAGGAAATTAGTATAAAAAGATAGGGTACATACATAATAAGTTCCTATTCTGATTTTCCCATACATCTTTCGGAAAACAGCCTTGCAAGTCTCAAGAGTGTTCAGGATTACATCCAAGACATTGAAGCTTGTATGTTCATGTATTAGTCAAGGCTAAATATGGCTCTTCTCTTTTCAAAGAAAATTTTAGTCTTAATCTTCTCTTAATATTTTACTATTAATTTCTTTCCTATAAAACATGATTCACATTGACCCAAGCACATTCATTTACTTTCTGGGTCTGTTAGTTATTTATTCAACAAACCTTCCTATTTTCTTTTTACAGATGAAGAAGTTGAACGAAAGTATCATTTTCTAGCTGACAAAAATGAATACCAGAAAGGGATTGGTTCAGTGCATCATTCAAATTCCTGGTTGATAATCACTTCTATACTGCTCACTTTTCATGGAGGTGTGAAAACAAGTCTTATTTTATATATCTTTTTAATAGTTCTCAGCAGATACAGGTTGAAGGAGCTTTACCTTTTGGCTTTTTTCTCATACAAACTTGCCAGTAAACAGAACTGCTGAAACAAAGGGGCAGAGAATCCGAGGAGGGGTAGAAGTAGCATATGGTGAGGTTGATGCTGTGATGCAACAACTGCTCCCCCTACCCTGGGAAAGAAATGTTTGGTGCATTTTCCTGTGACTGTCACAGAGGTTTCAAGGCCAATTGAGACTAGCAGTCATCCAAAGCCAAAGCAGTAAAACTCAGTTGTAGGCATGGAGAAGAATGCTGCAAGGCAATCTAGACCTATCAATGAACTTTTTTTCCCCTATAGTTATTACCATCCTTCAGCTTCTATCAATTAATAGAGCAGAGAATACTAATACATGCACTAGAAGAGAATGTTATATTCTCTTGTTGTTCAGTCGATTAGAAATCTGGTCTTCCTAACTCCAGGGCCAGCACTCACCACTGTGCCACCTCATCACCCTAACATCATCTATCCACTGTATAGGTATAATCCAAGCAGTCTAGAGCCAGGGATTGGGGAATTATGAAAGAAGTAAAACAAAGTAAAGAACAAGAGTATTTGTGGAAGCTGTGAAAGACCCTGTTATAAAATACGAACGCCCTGTACCCACTGTAATTAAGCATTGCAAAGTGACTAAGGGAAATATTTTTTTTTTAAATAATGAAACTAGTTCTTCAAATATTCCTGTCCAATTTATAGTATCTCCATCATATGACTTCCTTCACTGAAATAAAAAACAGAATAGATATAAACCCACCTCAAAGATTTAAACACAAAATATTAAGCTGAAGTATGCTTTGATGAAACAAAGTAAGTCTGGCAAATGCTTTTTCAGTTGGATACTTTACCCAACAGGTTAACTAGATTATAACCAAATTATAGACAGAACCTACACTTCAACTACAACTTCAAAAGTCTTTTTTTTTTCCATCAGAGGAGCAAAAGATATTTGATATAAGATATTCTAATGTAATACCATACAGATGAGAACTGGGGCTCAGAAAGGCAACTCTAAGATTTTGAATCCAAGATTATGTTTCTTTACATCTTAGTCTTTCTTGCCATAGTTGAAATATTTTAAAATTTCACAAAAAGTCAAATATAAGTTTTTTCCTAGATGACTTTCTTTAAAAATCCAATTATACATAATGTGCAACATTCTTAAATTAAGAATGGTTTCAAAGTCCTATATTCCAGGGTGCAAGGCACTTTTGGAAGTGAATGAAGCATCTCAAGCAAGTGAATGCATACACACTAAGCTTAGTAATTATTAAATCCCCAAGATTTTTATTTGCAGACCATCTGGGCAGAGCAAAAGACTCTTCATACATTCCCACTTGATATATTTACAAAACCTTGCTCAACTAAGGATGGCAATAAGATACAGATATCAAAAGTAAATTATTCATGCCAGTAAAACAAATGGTACATTAAAAACCTTAATACTTAAGAGATTACAGATGGACTTGTAGGACCCTAAACATTTTGGTAAACAATATTCCAAAAGAACTGAAACAATTCACAGAACTCTAAAAATTACTAAGTCTGAGAACAATAGTAAATTCAAAATCAAATGCATCAAAATGAAAAAAAAAGTGCTAACTTCGTAAAGCAATTCAAAACTGAGAAAAAAATTTGTTCTTGTAGAGGACTATATAACCTATTTTTATAATTAATGTTCAAAGTGAATTTAGACAAGTCAAATAGCTTGGTTAAGGAAAATGAAAATTTAATAGTCTTTCACATATCAAAAACTAACCAGGCACATTAGCAGCTTCTGCTCTAACATCTCAATATTCGTTAACTCCTTATTTATGTGTACAGCATACTAAAAAACAATATCAATTACTCATTTTAATACATTTATACATCAATGCTGTGGTGGGATCAACCTTTCACATTGTCTTCATGTCTATTTTTCAATTTGTGACACAAGGCACAATTGAAAAGTATATAATATTACAATTATGAAAGTAGAAAACAAAACTCTGACACAGAAAAAGAAAATTTTGCTTTAAAAAATTAATAACTAATTAAAACATAGGCCAAATTCTTGAAAACACTATTCAGGAGAAATTTATTTCCAGCATAGGAAAAAATCAATGCTTTGATTTAACAGTAGTCCTAGCAGACTGACAGTTAATTGTCTTGATTTCCACAGAGCATCTATCTAGAAAAACTCAAAAAGGGAATTTTTAAGTTTACAAACTATCATTCACATTAGCACTAATACATAAAGTACTTGAGATGTTTATTTATAATCACAATATTAAAAGATATGTAGAAAAACACTCTCCCCTGAACTTTTCTGTCTCAAATCCCATTTCAGTCTCAATGGAAAATAAAACCTCCTCTTTTATTCATTAGTCTACACATAGGAAGATAACTTAGTACAATTCATATGAACATGGTAAATATTACCATTAGGCAATTTGTGGTAATTGTACAACCTATGTTATCAACTACTTTGCTTGAAGGTTTTTTTTTTAAGGTTAAGAGTGGGTTGGTGGGAACTTTTGGTCTCAAAAGAAACTACTTATTTAAAGAAAGTCAAGGTAACAAAACTATTTTTTTCTCCCCCCTAAAAGATCCAAGAGTTAAGTTATAAACACAGTATTTCTATGCAGAACTAAGTGTTAAAACAAAATAGGATGTTTCTGCTTAAGCAGTTTCTTTTCAGGGAAAATTTAGACAGTGATCCCATTTCCCATTAAGCTCTCAACATTTGGAATGTTTCCATAGCAATTTTTTTTTAAAAAAGGTACTATGAAAAGACAATACTAAATAGGGTATTCCTGTGAAATTATTTTAGTTGGCCTAAAGCCAAGATTGTAGTATCTTCATCCTATGCTCTTTTATAAATTTTCAATGAGTAAATACCAATATTGTCTTTTGGGTCATTATTATTTTACTTCTCCTATATCTCTTTTTTCAAATCACAAGAGTGAGTTAAATATCACTTAGGTTTACTGTACAACTACGTAAAGGCTAGTTACTGTGACAAGTAAAGTATCCACTCTTGACAGATGGATAAAAAAATCTTTTTGTTTTCATCAAACAACTTCTTTTCATTGATAATTATATCCTGGTTTCTCAAAGCATATTTATTTAGGTCAAGGGAAGAAAAACAGCAGAAGAGGCCTTCACCTTATGTCATGTAGCAGTGTTAACCAAATTCAATTTCTGAGCCAAAATTAAATTTTATGTCTTTAAACTTTCCTTTATAACTTCTTTCTGCAGTAATTTTGTATTTTGGCCAAAGAGAGCTGTTTCCTTTTGGCAGGCAGATCACTCTGGAAAGAAACCAGTGATTCAGAACTGTAGAATTTGTCTTCTTTTGGGGAGAGTAATAAATGGAGCAATGATTTTATTTTTTAGTTTGTTTTTTACCACCCATGTTGATCTTTTTCATAAGATTCATGAGATGAAATGTTTAAATCTGACCACACTACATATTACCTAGTACAAACTATGTACTTCTGTTTTAGCCTGATTTCCCAAAAGATAAGTTTCTGACCAAAATAAATTATTGTCTTGTCAAAAAGCATTCAGTTAAAAATCAAACTCTAAAGTTTAGATGGAATGTTAAAACTTAATGGCCAAAGATTATTGGTCATTTTATACATAAAACATAATTGTTTAACATAAATAAGACCTAGAAGAAAAGACTAATCAGTGACTGATGTTGCAAAATGAATCAATAAGACTATGTAAATATCTCTTCTGTGGCTATAAGAATGAGGCACAAATTGGTAGGTACTCCCAAACAATAGAAAATATCATTAAATCTTTACCTCTACTAAAGTATAAGACAAAGGGAATGTTCCCATCCAAGGGTATAATGAAATCAAATCTTAAAATTTTCAGGGTGCTAAAACAGATAATTACTTTTTCTTTATTGTTACCAAGATTAAGGTCAGAAGTAAATATTATCCAAATCTCCAATTATTTAAATATCAATAATAATTATAGTTTAAATCAATCATACATATGCCTTTGAAAGAAGATAATGATAAATTTTCCCACTAATTTCAAGGGTCACACCATAGGATTAGTAAGAACCACACTGATATCATAAATGACTTGTAACTCTAACCCAATTCATACTAAGAATTGCTGGAATTCACTTGCAAGGAATACCGTGAGCACATCATGCCAGTTTTTAGTAGCCATGCTTCTATTTCCCCCAAACTAACAATACCAGGTGTCTGTTGAATGTTGTTTCCTGTCACTTGATTTCACAACAGAATGTTTTGTTCTTCAACTGAATGCAGTAAACTGGTAAACTTCAAGCTTCAAAACACTTCATGAACTCTGAAGTGATTTTCTATGGAAGGAGGTTCCTGCTCAAAGTGAATCTGGCTAGTCACCTGCATGCCAAAGTCCTCGAGGATCTGTACAAATTTCTTGTGCTCCTTTCCAATCCAAGATCTCATGGGGTCATTTACTTGGTAAGGAGTAACATGAGTGTGCACTGTAATCCCTGTCTTTGCAAATTCTTGCAACACTTCGGGGTAAGTAACCCAAGTATTGCTTCCTCCAGAGTGACCACCATCCAGCCAGTACATTGTTCTTATGTTTTTGATGAAGGTGTTTATGTTCTTATCTTTCTGGGCTTCTTTCAGCTCAAAAAGCAGTTGGTTCAAAACAACACATCCTTTACTGAATCCAATCAAAGTAAAGGATGCATCTTTAAAAGATGGTGGATTAAAGTTGGTGTCAGAGTCATCATATTGTTCATATTTTCTCTCTCTCTCCCCATGGCAGCCATTTGAAGCATGAGATGAATTTGCTCTACAGTAGCTAGAGGTCTTTGCATCCTTTCTTAAACCACACCTTTTCTTCTTTGACAAGATAATGTTCTGCGTAAGGGTGAATGCATTAACTAACAAGGAATAAAGATGTTTAAAAGCTCCAAACTCAATGCTGTGATCTGGGGCACCAAACATGTTGCTCTTCACAAAATTGTCATAACAGCTGAACTTGTGCAAATGCATTCGGGAGCTCTTCACTACCCAAATATAACTACTGGTGAAGTGGTGTGCTAGAAGGAAAGCGACCTTTTCTAGACTCCAGTTTTCCCACTGATAATTCTCAGGATGACGTGCCATAATTTCACGATAGTTCTGAAAAAGAAGAACCATCACAAAATCATTGTTACAAATATTATCCTAAAATAGCTTTCAGCTTTTATTGTTCTTTTTTATGGGGCAATGGAGGAAAGACTTTAGGATTCTGGATTGCTAAGTGGAAAATGGAGGTTGGGGGCAGCTAGGTGGTGCAATGGATAGAGCACTGGGCGTGAATTCCAATCTGGCCTCAGATCAAACACTTGACACTTCCTAGCTGTGTGACCCCAGACAAGTCACTTAACCCCAATTGCCTAAAAAAAAAAGTTGATTGGTTTGCTCCAAATAGAAACATTTAGGTATTAATGAACTGTACATATATTATACATGTATTCAACTTCCCTTAAGTGGTTTGTAAGTCTTTAAGCATTATACAAATATAAGTATTGTTATAGACACAAGTTTAATTGACTGCATTTTTGCCATAAACTAATTCTCTTGCAAAGTGAAATTAAAATAATCCTCTCCTATGATAGCTGCCATGTTGTTCACTATAACACTTGAATACAACCACTTGGGGCTGCTCTGCATCTAACAATATGAAGTCTGATGTGTACAGTGCTATTTTTAGAACGAATATACTAGTTTTTGTTTTTATAAGAGTAGGTACTTAATAAAGGTTTGATTGATTTTTACTTATTATTCCATTCTCTGAACAGAAATATAAACCAGAATAATTAAACTGAAAACTTTAGCTCCTGGATTTTAAAAGGATTACACATGCGAAAGAACAAATGATTAACCAAGAAAGCAGGTAGCTCTACCCTGTTCTAATGGTTAAACTATAGGCTCAATGTCAAATCAAGATGGCATAACTATGAAGTCCCTTCCCAAAGAGAAAGTCCCAAACAATACAACACTCTAGTTTGATGGAAATTTACATCTAGAAGCATTAGACAATGCTACACTATTTTTCAAAATATATTACAGTGGCATATAAAAATCATGAAAAGACCTACCTTAGTCACAAACTAGAATTCTGCTCCCATATTGCACAGAGAAAGAAACTAAATCCCAAAGAGATCAATTGCCCAAAGTCAGTTATCAAGTTAGTAACATAGCAGAGATTGGAATTAACATCTCTTTTTTTCCAGTGCTATGTCAAACAAGACAACTCTAAAATGTACATATTTTTCTTAAAGAGTTCTCATGTTTAAATTGATCCTTAATCTCAGCTGAAAAAAAAGAGAAATGCTTACACCAAAGTATAAAACAGATTGATAACATAAGCAGTAAGAATAGATGAGTTTCATTTATTTAAGATAGTTTACAGCTGCAGTCATTTGAAGGCAGAGATAAACTTGGAGTCCCATAGGGCCACGTCAAGAGGGCAAAGAGATAATAAACCTTTCTTGAATGTTCTGTTTAAGTAGTCTTAGCACTTGCAGTTTGCTGAAAGAGTATGGGCTGACACTTCCCTAACATGTCAGTGATAAATAACTTAGAAGTGGAAAGGTCATCCAAACTGATTTAAAGGTAAGCATTCCAAGGAAACAGACAAGGAGCCCAATGGCAAATAAGTAGGCAGAAAAAAAAAGTTTATAGGGGAAAGCCAAGACCATTAGTTAATCTTATCTAGGAGATATGGACAAAGAAAACTGGAAAGCAATACGCTATGGTAGAAAAAAAAATTGATTTCAAGTCCTAGTTTTACCACTCAGAAGCTAAATGTCACTTCTCTCTGGGTCTCAGTATCCTCATCTGTAAAATAAAGATGTTATACTAAGGTGTTTTCAGGGTCCTTTTTAGTTTTTATCCTCTACAATTCTTTGTCAGTGACTTAACAGGTTATACTACATTTGGCTTTCTGTCTAAGGGACACACCAACTATTTGCACCATAAATAAAAGATGGTCTCACTACCTGAGGAGGTGAAAAGCTTGAGAAATGCATCTCTTAAACTCAGATTTATTAGAAAGATTGAAGGATTTCAAGATAAAATTTTTTAAAGATCCAAGAAAGGGACCAGAAAAAAAAATGCTTTTCCAAGAGGAAGAGGGGACTGGATCTATTGTTAAGGTGTCAGGAGTGAAAGAATCTGAAAATAGAAAAATTACAATCTGCAGTGAAGGAGTTTTAAGATAGAGAATCTGGATTCGAATCTTTTCCCCAGAATTTACCACTCTACTTTAGTTCCCTCATATGTAAAACGAAGAACTCAAGTCCTTTCCAGCTCCAGGTCAACGATCCTATGATACATGGACTGACTCAAACAGTAAGAGGTCTAACAAAAATCCTGTTACATACCTACATGTTAGCTCACAGTTTAACCAAAGGCTAAAGAGGAAACATAGCAAATGACACTGCTCATGACTCAGAATCAAGAACCAAAACCACAACACTTCGCTATAAAAGAACTGAAATTTTCAAGTGATAGTACCTTTGAGCAACCTCTTCTCTAACTTCTTATCTGATACTATCTTCTAGGCTTCTACTTCTAACACCAGGTTCTCCCTCTCTGTAAGCTCCTTTAATCAATTCTGAGTCAGATGTTCTGCAAACCACCTAATACTAATAGTTTCCTAGCTTTTTTGGTTATCCGTGCTTATCTCTTTCAATTCCAAGCACACCTGTCCACACGTCTTATCTTCGGTGTTTTTTTGCCTTGCTTTGGGTAAATCAATACTGCCTCAGTCCCAAAGCAGACTGCCTGAAAATAATGGCAGGAGTTATTTTCTGCAAGGTGCTCAGGACTGTTTCCAGAGATCATAAGCTGTGATGACTATTTTTCAAATTCCTGAGGATCTATCAAGCAGCAAGGACCATTTGCAACTTGGCTTAAGCAGAATTCTTTAATCTACGGTGGCCAAAGACAGCACAAGGAACTGGTCAGGCTTATTTGCCAAATAGGTTTTTCTTGATTGTTCACGGACCTCCACCTCTAGGCATTTCCCATGAACTAGACCAAGATTTCTTTTGTGGTATACTATCTTAGTATCACTAAGCCACATTCACTTATATTTTGATGTTTCTGAAGGATAATAGCATTTCATTAATATAGATTTTCCCTCTACTAACGCAGATCTCAACCCATCCATGCCTTATTCCATTGGAGAAATTCTCATTCGTGTACTCCCATATATCTCCCACAGATGATCTACCCAACTTGCCAAAGATCTTTGTCTAGGTATTTTGATATTTTTATTGTCTCTGTGATCTTATACCATGACCAGCTCAAGGCCTTTTATCGTGCATATTATGTCTCCAGTGATAACCTCTTATGTCCCTTCTAATGCATAAGTACTGGTAATTTATTGTACTAATTTGTGCCCACTATACAATATCCTTTGAGTCATCTGAAATTCTGATGATGATACATGATTCATAGCCAAATAAAATCACTGAAAAATTATTGGTATTAAGAAGTTAAGTTTTTATGTAAGGGAACAATCGAAGCACTGCATAATTTTCCAAGGGCAATTCAACAACTCTTGGGCCTCTTCCACACTGGGCCCAGCTCATCATCCTGTGTAGTGTCTACCATAGACAGATATCCTGAAGGACAAAATAGGCTACTCACCCAATTGTATGTCATAATCTGACCAAATGTTCTTCATCCACTTGTTTTTTTCTATGTGGATTATTGGGGCAATGTCTGTTGAGTGGGCACTGAGATCCTGTAGTATTCTGGGGTTTGATGCAAGCCACAATGTCACCTGCAAACAGGAGCATTTGGAGGATCTTATCGTGTATGGGGAATCTCTCTTCTGTTTGGACTCCACAGGACATCCTAAATGATAGTGATGAACAGCTTGGATGAGCGTTCATCTTTGTTTTATATTTCAGTTGGTATTGATAATCCAAGCATCACTAAAAATTGTCTGTGTGGTTGAATCTATCAAACTACCTCATATGACTTGAACAGAGGGGTCATCACTTCTGTAAATAAGTGCACCTGGTTGTCTGTCTCAGACAGACTGTCAGACAGTCCAGAGTTTAAAATGTAAAAGTTCAAGTGTTGAGTCAAACCTCTTTCTTGGAATCTCCTAATTTAGGATCAGTTAAGAGTTTTTCTATGGAACACGTGAAAGCAGAGAAGGGGAGGAAGAAAAGGTCTTTAGAATAATATTGCTCAACAACTCTTCCACCAAAACAATATGGTTGAACATATTTTGATGATGTCTGCTGATGATACACAATGGTTTCCTTCATCCAGGTTTAATCATATACGAGCAGTAGGAGAGCAACAGGAGTTTGTTGGAAAGAAGGGTTGAAGGGTGATAAAGACAAGTAATCCACTGGTGAGGTGTAGCAGAAGGGTTACTAAAGGCAGACAGGATGAAAAATTTACTCAGCCTACAATCTCCTGGCAATTTTTAACAGCATATCTAAGGGGCTAATTACATTTATTTTTATACATATATATGTAAATATATATATATATATATATATATATATATACACATATATATATATATATACACATATATATATCTATAAAACTATCAATATATTTTTAAAAGTTATAATTGTATTGCACTTTATAGTATACATAGCACTTTCAAATACATGGTCTCATTTGATATCCCTAACATTCTCAGATAGGGATGTTAACACCAAACCACTTTATGAATAAGAAAATTAAGTCTGAGAGTTTAAATTACTTATAAATGACTAGTAAGACAAAATATATTAAAGATAAATGATATCCTATATAAAATGTCCCAAAAGTCTTGGTGCAGTTTAAAGCTTTCACATTTCTTTCTCAATTGTATTGATGATATAATCAACATGGGTATAAAACATTCTCAAAAATTTTGTAGCAATAGGAAAGTAAATGTATGGAGCTGGTAGTTATTACATCAACTTTGTGAGGAAATAATTTGAGCTATGCTTTTTTTCCTTCCATTCCTTTCATAATTTTCTCTTTGTGAGAAAACTTAAAAAACTTATCAAGATACCTTCAAAACTAGGATCATATCCAGCATGCATTTTTTCTCAATGTGTTTGGTCTGGTCCAGCCATAGTTCCCAGATTGATTTTATTGAGTGTTACCTT